TATTGGGGAATCTTGAAGGAATGTGGACGGGGGGGAGTTGAGGGCTTGGGGGGCTTTAGAAGGTGAGAGAGAATTGGGGGGGGTGTCTTTGGGGGTTGTAGGTATGGAAGACCCTTTGGTCTGCAGGTCCTGGGGGACCCTGAAGAGATATGGGGTGTCCTGGGGATGGCAGATATGGGGACCTCAGGGGTTAGAGGGGATCCTGGGGGGACCCCTTTAACTGGGACTCTGTCCTCTGGATGAAGAGGGGTTTGGGCTCAGCGTGGTGGCTCGTGACTCTTTTGGGGCAGCTGAGGGAGGATCCAGGCCTACGTTTTGGGGGCTCCCAGTGGCCAGCAGACGTAGAAAGGCTGTGGAGAGGTTGTGGGTGCCCATGGGGGTGAGGTGGGGAGCAGGGTGTAGGCTGGTGAGCGGCTGTGGGTCTGCAGGGTGTTGGGAGGCCGGGGGCTCTCAGCCCCATCCCGCCCCATGCAGTCCCAGGGCATCAGGGAACACTGAGTAAAGGAAGACACACAAACAGCAGAAATGAGAGAATTAAGTAGTTTCTTCTGAAGTCTGAAACAGCTGTTAATTCTCGCTGGGGGACTTTGGGAGCTCAAACTTCTGGGAGCTTGTTGAAGCGGTGAGGTTTCACCACGCACTTGCTCATATGCTGCTGGTGCCGTGAGATCTGTTGCCTCTCAGTAGCTCTGACTTTGTAAGCACAACCCGGGTCACGTCTCAAAGCTGTTTTGTTCCCGCTGCCAGAAGCGTTGGTATGGAGTCCCTCAGCCTAACTAAGGAAAAGAGATCGGCTGGTTCAGGTGTGAGATGAAATGTGTGTGACAACAAAAACTCCTTGTTCTGCTCAGCTTTCCCCCTTTTGCTCTTTCTGCCTCTTCCTTCGTTGCCTTTTCTTCACTTGAGTCCCATTGTTAGCTTTCTTTACAAAGTTATCACTTCTTTCCCTGCTCAGGTCCCTCTAAAGGCAACATTTCAATTTAACGTTCAGGAGGATCACGTAAAAGTGTCGTTAAGGCTTCAGTGGACTTCCCAATTTATTTTGCCTCGTTACAGTGCTTGTTGGGCAGGGACTTTCTTCCGCCAGCAGTGTTGAAGGGCACGGTCTGAAGGGGTTATCTAGTTCTTTGCAAACTGCTTTAAAAATAGTTGTCACTAAAATGCAGTCATTTCTGGAGAGGAATTCAGCAGCAGTTCTGAACCACTGGCTTTGTTGGATGGTTTTTTTGGATTGGGGTTTTCTCAGCGGAGACTAAGAATAACTTCACTGGTTGAATGTGGAGGAGAAATTTGTGGGAGGTGGATTCAACAGCCAGATTCCCGTTTGGAAAACGAGTAGGGTTAACATCCTTGCTCCTTGTTTCCTTAAAGCGAGAGATCGTATTCACCTTCTGTGACATGAGTGGGGTAATTATTGTTGCCAACTGTAATCGCTTTGCGGGCTGGAGAGTGCTGGAGCACTTGTTTGCTCTTAGCGTTAAAAACAAACAAATAAAAAAGGAGTGGGTTCAGCTGGAGGAAGCAGCTAGTCAGCAGCCGACCTGCGAGGCTTGTAATCACTACCTGCGGCCAGGATGGTCCTTTCTCAGAGGAGCGTTTTATTCCTGATCCTGGAAGTTGGGTGGGAATTGAGAAGTGGGAGACTGTTTTAGTATCCCGTAGACCTCACTGCTTTGAGAACTTTAATGCAGCCATGAATTTCCTTAATTGCGTGCCAGTCCTTTGGTTATACCTAATTGTAGTATGTTGAACACTTCCACTCCCTTGTGGCACTTGCCTGTCAACTAACTGTAAAAAATTACCATGTCCACCTTATTTACCGCTTAGCCAAACTAGGCGTCTAGTTATTTTAATCTTTCCTTGTAAATCAATCCCTCCAGCTGCTTAACTGTATTTTCCTGAATGCCTTCCAATTTGCCAACATCTTTCTGATACCAAATAGCTTGGAGTTGAACAGGGTTTGCATCAGAGTGCTGGAGGTCGGGACCTTCCCTCCTTGCTCCCTGTCTGCTCAGATTATAAGAAGGAAAAGCTTTACACAAACTTTGTGAATATGTTAAACCTTCCACTTGCAATTTGTCTTTCACTCTAACTTAACGTTCCCCTGTTGAAGGGTGTTTCTAACATTAATTTCTACTTATTCTTGCTCGTATTTCTGTTTTCTCAAGGGTCTTTATTTTCCAGTCTTCTCCAGCATTTCCCACCATATGTATTTAGTGCTCTGATTTTTTTTTGTCTCTGTGTGATTTATGGAGACGTCAGGTGAAAATGAACTTGCTGTTGAGCCTTGCTGAGTCCCGTTGTTCAGATGCTCAGCCCACCTTGGTAGGTTGCAAGTGTCGTTACCCTTTTTAAGCCGGTTGATGGGACTGTTGTTAGTCTGAGTTAACTTGGAAGCGCTGTACAATCCGCGTGGCACGACTGAGATGGTGATTGCATAGGTGTGCCGTGTGGGAAGATGGCAAAAATAAAAGGACGTGGCTTAAAAAAAATCAAACTTCTCGCTAATGTCTTTATTCCCATCTCTTCCGAAGCCCCTCGGAGCCCGGCTGGAGGAGACGCTGACTGTGGAGGACGTTCTCAGGGTGGCTTAAAAGGGGGTTTGTGGATGTGCCGTGGGGCAGGCAGGAAATTTCCCTCGCCCGTTTTGAAAGACGGGGAAGTTTGAGAGAGGAAGCGCGAGTGGATGAGTGTGAGAGGATGGTCGCGGGGAAGAAACCGGATCCTCCTTCCATCCTCCGGGAAGAGGCAGGAGCCGGCTCGCAAGGTCCGCCGCTTTCACCCGATGAGGCAGCCAGGAGGAACTGGAGCTCTTCTGAGGGGGTGCAGCGGAGATCAGGGCAGCTAGGACGCGTCTCGCCCAGAGCCTGTCGCTGCCTCGTCCTGGTGGAAACGCTTTTAAAACGGCTTAGTAAAATACGCTCAGCTTCTGGCAGGCCTGGTGGGGCATCTGTTGTTTTTTGCAGCATGTGTTAGTAGAGGATCTCTGGGTTGGATTTTGTTTTGGACTCATTTTCTGCTGCATCACATGTGATGCTTTTTCACGTTCTGTTTGGTTTTGTTTATCCTTCTGACTTTCTTGGGGTCTTTTTTTTTTTCCCTTCTTTGTTTTTTTTATGTTCCTAGCACATTCCCAGTCGTTTAGCACCCAGCTACGATGCTTTTTGAGATGACTTTCCAGTGCTGGGAGAAAATATTTTTTTTTGTAACAGGCCTTCAGGATTGAGGACCTGTTGCTTCCTGTAACTTCTTCCCCCCCCCCTTTAAAGTAATCTTGTTTCTTGGTTTTGGTTTCAAGGAACTTGTAATACAATGGGTGATTGCTGAGTAGTGTAGGCTGAGCAGAGATGTAAGCACGGG